GCACGCAGGCGCGGTTCCCAGCTTTTGCCTTCGTTGGAGAGGCTCCTCGCTCCCAGAAGATACTGTTCTTTCCCGTGGCAGTGAGCGATTTGCTCTCACCCTATGGACACTTTCTATTGAAAAGTTGTTGGGGAGTTTATGAAAACTCATCATGATTTGTACACTTTTCTATATGTTACACTTTGATTTAAAAAGTTTAAAAAAATAAAAGTGAGTCACCAAGATCGAGAGCCTGAGCACAAATTTTGATTTATCAGAAGTTCCCAATAAACAGTTCTCCCAAGGACCCAACTTCAGTCCATATTTCGTACACACTTTTTACCTAGGGCTGTCCTGTAAACGACTGAGTAAAAACAAACAGACTGGCTAGGTGTAGGGAAAATGGAAATTCCATGGCCAGAATTTTCACCTGACCTTGGTCTGCTTGCCCACTGCACACAGGCAATGCTCGAAGGTGCAGGTTTGCACACTTGCGGGTAATAAATTATTGGCTCTATATAAAAAGCTCCACCCAGAGCTTGGGGGCTGCAAGGCGGCGGAGAGGGCCAGAGGCAGGGATCAGCCTGCTGCATGCCAGACTTGTCCTGAGGTAGACGGGCAGTTCTAGTGCTTGAGCTGCCACCACAGGAATAAAGCTGGGTATAAACTCTCTTACCCGTGACGTTCTGTTTTCATTTTTCAGTCTCACTGAATCCAGAGTGAACCTGCCCGAGGCGGAAACCCTCAGGCGAGACACAAGAATTTAATGTAGAAATGTTTTCTGCACGTAAAGGATGCAATAACACACTCTGTGAAAGCAGCACCCAATCACACACCTTAAGTGACATAAGCACATCAAGCATAAGTTTGCCCAGGCCCTGACCCCTCACAGCTGAACTTGAATACTAAGCCAGTCTCACTGAATATAAGCAGTAACTATAGTTAGCAATTGCTGTAGCTGGGGCTCAGGGTACCTAATGATAAAGTTATCTTCCTGCTTGAAACAATTAGCTGATGAAAATTCAAGTACCAGCTTCATCATTCACAATCAGCTCTCAGTCAGATCACACATGCGCTTTGCATGAACTGTCCTCTTCCTTACTTTTCAAGATACACTCATAGTCTAAAAATATCAGAAATAATTTGCTTTAGGAACACATTTACTGAGGGACCACCACAGTGGATGAAGCAAGCTGGGGAGACTGGAAATAAATAACAGACATTCAAACTCATCAAATGGTTCAAAGAGGACGTAGTTTTCCTAAGAGTCTCCTTCCAGAATCAGAAACAGGATTTTGGAGTGTGAAAAGATGGCATGATATCTGATCTGATGCCCCTTCACCAGAATCCCAAAGGGATGGTAACTTAGGTTCAGGTGCAGTCACTTCAAGAATCATGTCGATGTTTGAAGATGGGGAAGCACACTTCACCTTAGCGGCACCCTAGGATCTTCCAGCTTCAGGTAAGATTAATCAGCTTCTTCAATGGTGGGCCCTGTGGCAGCCTCTCCAGGCATATACCCTGTTCCACAGGTAGGCCCAACACATCCCGCCTGATAGAGTTTTGTGATGACTGGGTTACACACCTTCTCCAATTCCTTTCTCTTATGATCAAACTCATCTTTCTCCGCCAGTTGATTGGCCTCCAGCCATGAAAGAACCTCATTACATTTATCCAGTATTTTCTTTTTATCAGAGTCACTAATCTTGCCTTTCAAGCCTTCATCACTCACAGCACTCTTCATGTTAAATGCATAGGATTCTAAGGCATTTTTTGCAGAGACTTTCTCTCTCTGGATCTCATCCTCAGCTTTATATTTCTCAGCATTCAGAACCATATGCTCGATCTCCTCCTTTGTCAGCCAGCACTTGTCATTGGTGATGGTGATCTTGCTGGCCTTACCAGTACTCTTGTCCATGGCTGTTACATTGAGAATACCATTGGCATCAATGTCAAAGGTCACCTCAATCTGAGGAACTCCCCTGCGTGCAGGAGGGATCCCAGTCAGGTCAAAGCGCCCCAGCAAGTTGTTGTTCCGCGTCATGGCCCTCTCACCCTCGTACACCTGGATCAGTACCCCGGGCTGGTTATCTGAGTAGGTGGTAAAGATCTGTGTCCGCTTGGTAGGGATGGTGGAATTGCGCTTGACCAGGATAGTCATCATGCCCCCGGCCGTCTCCAACCCTAGGGACAGAGGAGCTACATCCAACAAAAGCAGGTCCTGTACCTTTTCAGACTTGTCACCCATCAAAATGGCAGCCTGTACTGCAGCCCCGTAGGCTACTGCCTCATCGGGGTTGATGCTCTTGTTGAGATCATGGCCGTTAAAGTAATCCTGCAGCAGCTTCTGAACCTTAGGGATGCGGGTGGAGCCCCCCACTAAAACAATACCATGGATTTTAGCCGTATCCATCTTGGCATCCCAAAGAGACTTCTCCACAGGCTCCAGGGTGCCCCTAAACAGGTCTGCACACAACTCCTCAAACTGGGCTCTGGTGATGGAATGATGTGTAGAAGTCAATCCCTTCATAAAGTGAATCAATTTCTAAGTTGGCCAGGGTGCTGGACGACAGGGTCCTCTTGGCCCTCTCACAGTCCGTGCATAGCCGCCTCATGGACCACTTGTTCTGGCTAATGTCCTTCCTCTGCTTCCTCTTGAACTCCTCCACAAAGTGGCTCACTAGCCTATTGTCAAAGTCCTCTCCAACCAGGTGGGTGTCCCCAGCTGCGGCCTTTACCTCAAAAATCCCATCATCTATGGTGAGGATGGACACATCAAATGTGCCTCCACCAAGGTCAAAGATCAGGACATGTCGCTCTCCCTAACCTGCTTTATCTAAGCCATAGGCAATGGCAGCAGCTGTGGGTTCATTGATAATTCTTAGCACATTGAGACCCGCAATCATGCCTGCATCCTTAGTTGCCTGTCGTTGTGAGTCACTGAAATAGGCTGGCACAGTGATCACAGCATTGGTGATAGGGTGGACCAAAAAAGCCTCAGCAGTCTCCTTCATTTTAGTCAGTACCATGGAAGAGATTTCCTCAGGATAGAAAGCTTTTTTCTTCCCTTTATAGGACACCAGTACCTTGGGCTTGCCTCCTTCACTGATTATTTGAAAAGGCCAAAGTTTCATATCTGATTGAACTACAGGATCATTAAATTTCCTGCCGATCAGACGTTTGGCATCAAAGGCAGTGTTCTGGGGATTCATGGCTACCTGGTTCTTGGCCGCTTTCCCGATAAGCCACTCGGTGTCGGTGAACACCACGTAGCTGGGGGTGGTGCGGTTGCCCTGGTCATTGGCAATGATCTCCACCTTGCCGTTTTGGAACACCCCCACGCATGAGTAGGTGGTACCCATGTTGATGCCTATAGCCATTTCTTTAGCAGCAGCCATGGTTTTCCGAGGCCTGTGGAGAAAGAATGAGAAAGTTTTGGCAGATTGTTTAATTTCATTTACTTACTAATTCTAACTGTAGTAAATACACATAACATGAAATTTACCATCTTAGTAAGTGTACAGTTCAGTAGTAAACTTATTCACATTGTCCAATCCATCTCCATAAGTTTTTATTTTGCAAAACTGAAATTCTATTACACAGCTCTCCATTCTATAACCCAAGACCCTGGCAATCACTGTCCTACTTTCTGTCTCTATGAATTCAGTTATTCTAGGTACCTCATATTAATGGAATTATGCACTATTTTTTTGTGTGTGACTGGCTTCTTTTACTTAGCATAATATCCTTAAAGTTCATCTATGTTATAGCATGCGTCAGAATTTCCTTCCTTTTGAAGGCTGAATAATATTGATTGTATGTGTATCCATTTTGTTTATTCGTTTATTCTTTTCATGGACACTTGGGCTGCTTCCACCTTATGGCTATCACAAATAATGTTGCTATGGCTATCACAAATAATGTTGCCATGAACTACAAGTACCATTATCTTTTTGGGGTACAAATTACCTCTTCCATACCCTGCTTTTTGGACAATGTAGACAAATATTCTTCCTCAACAACTAAGAGGGTCAGTAGGTATATATTGTTTTCAATTTCTCAAGAGAACCTACTCAGCTGTCTTTTCCTATGTCTGTGTCATATTTTACTCTGAGATTGTACCTGTCTGCGGCTGAAATAAGATCATTTTACCTTCTGGTCGTCTCCCAAGACATTAATATCCACACTCGGGTTTAGCTGCCTCCCTTCCCTTAGCTACGGTACCCTCTTAAGAGATTTGTGGAAGTAAACCTGGGCCAGTCTAAAGATGGCTGCTAGGAACCCAATGAAGCCCTCACAAGTTTTCTCAGGAGAGGTGGAGCACTCCAAGTGGTCTCTTCTTTAACCTTCTTCCAAATATAACTCCAGTTATCTGGACACACTAAGAGAGCGGATACTCCACCTCTTCCCTGCAGCTATGACTAATCCCAGCCACCACAACGCTTCCAAAGGATTCCCCCTTCTCTGGTAGGCCAACGCCACCAGGTGGATCTTCGGGCTCAAACTAGAGGATTTCCCAGCAGTTTCTCAAACAAGCTACTAGTTTGCCTATTGACACCTTATTATGATCAGAGCCCTCTAGGCTTACCTAATATTCCCGCCGCCTGAGTCGGGGCTCCCTCAGCAGCAAACTGCGCACCGGTGTCCCCCCACCCGGCCCACCTTACAACTTTGAGGTGACTCCCGTCCTAACAGGCCGATTTCACACTAGCCGTTGAGGTCAGGCGCTGTACCTCTCTATTGTAATCGTCAGGACCCGGCCCCTCCCCCTGATAGCGTCAGCATGTGGCCCCGCCTCCTCCTGACTGGCCCGCGCCCCCAACCCGCTACTTTCACCTAACCTCCCAGTAGCCGTGCTGGTCTAGCAAGCCACGGAAGAGTCTGGAGAGATCTGGGAGAGGCGGCACCCAGGACGCTGATTGGTCCCCGCAAGCCCGAGGGAAGGACGCGAAGAGAAACCCCTAGAAAATTCCGGACCCAGCGGCCTCTCCGAGCTCGATGATTGGCTGAGAGGAAAAGGAGGGGCTCGCCGGGGCATGATAAATACAGAGCCTCCGCGGCTTGGAGAAACAGCCGTCCCGAAGAACCGGACAGTCTGCGCAGTGGATCGGGAGCGCAATTTTCGCAGACTCAATACCTTTGGGCTCTCGCGCTTTCAGTTTCCGGCTTCAGACGGGACCGAGCTCTTTTTTGACCCCAGATCCCGTCCGCCGTTTGCCGACCTGAGCCTCAGCGCAGAGCGAGAGCAGGACAACATGGCTAAGTCCACGGCCATCGGCATCGACCTGGGCACCACCTACTCGTGCGTGGGGGTGTTCCAGCACGGCAAGGTGGAGATCATCGCCAACGATCAGGGTAACCGCACCACCCCCAGCTACGTAGCGTTCACCGACACCGAGCGGCTGATCGGAGACGCGGCCAAGAACCAGGTGGCGCTGAACCCGCAGAACACCGTGTTCGACGCGAAGCGACTGATCGGCCGCAAGTTCGGTGACCCCGTGGTGCAGTCGGACATGAAGCACTGGCCTTTCCTGGTGGTGAACGACGGAGACAAGCCGAAGGTGCAAGTGAGCTACAAGGGGGAGACCAAGGCGTTCTATCCCGAGGAGATCTCGTCCATGGTGCTGACCAAGATGAAGGAGATCGCCGAGGCGTACCTGGGCCACCCGGTGACCAACGCGGTGATCACCGTGCCGGCCTACTTCAACGACTCGCAGCGCCAGGCCACGAAGGATGCGGGGGTGATCGCAGGGCTGAACGTGCTGAGGATCATAAACGAGCCCACGGCCGCCGCCATCGCCTACGGCCTGGACAGGACCGGCAAGGGGGAGCGCAACGTACTCATCTTTGACCTGGGCGGGGGCACCTTCGACGTGTCCATCCTGACCATCGACGACGGCATCTTTGAGGTGAAGGCCACGGCCGGGGACACTCACCTCGGTGGGGAGGACTTCGACAACAGGCTGGTGAACCACTTCGTGGAAGAGTTCAAGAGGAAGCACAAGAAAGACATAAGCCAGAACAAGCGGGCCGTGAGGCGGCTGCGCACGGCCTGCGAGAGAGCCAAGAGGACCCTGTCGTCCAGCACCCAGGCCAGCCTGGAGATCGACTCCTTGTTCGAGGGCATCGACTTCTACACGTCCATCACCCGGGCGCGGTTCGAGGAGCTGTGCTCGGACCTGTTCCGGAGCACACTGGAGCCCGTGGAGAAGGCCCTACGCGACGCCAAACTGGACAAGGCGCAGATCCACGACCTGGTCCTGGTGGGGGGCTCCACCCGCATCCCCAAGGTGCAGAAGCTGTTGCAGGACTTCTTCAATGGGCGCGACCTCAACAAGAGTATCAACCCTGACGAGGCGGTGGCCTATGGGGCGGCGGTGCAGGCGGCCATCCTGATGGGTGACAAGTCGGAGAACGTGCAGGACCTGCTGCTGCTGGACGTGGCTCCCCTGTCTCTGGGGCTGGAGACGGCTGGGGGCGTGATGACCGCCCTGATCAAGCGCAACTCCACCATCCCCACCAAGCAGACGCAGATCTTCACCACCTACTCGGACAACCAGCCTGGGGTGCTGATCCAGGTGTACGAGGGTGAGAGGGCCATGACGCGGGACAACAACCTGTTGGGGCGCTTCGAGCTGAGCGGCATCCCACCGGCTCCCAGGGGCGTGCCCCAGATCGAGGTGACCTTTGACATCGACGCCAATGGCATTCTGAACGTCACGGCCACGGACAAGAGCACAGGCAAGGCCAACAAGATCACCATCACCAACGACAAGGGCCGGCTGAGCAAGGAGGAGATCGAGCGCATGGTGCAGGAGGCGGAGAAGTACAAAGCCGAAGACGAGGTCCAGCGCGAGCGGGTGTCTGCCAAGAACGCCCTGGAGTCGTACGCCTTCAACATGAAGAGCGCCGTGGAGGATGAGGGCCTCAAAGGCAAGATCAGCGAGGCGGACAAGAAGGTGGTGCTGGACAAGTGCCAGGAGGTGATTTCGTGGCTGGACGCCAACAGCCTGGCCGAGAAGGACGAGTTTGAGCACAAGAGGAAAGAGCTGGAGCAGGTGTGTAACCCCATCATCAGCGGACTGTACCAGGGGGCGGGTGGCCCCGGCCCTGGCGGTTTTGGGGCTCAGGCCCCCAAGGGAGGTTCCGGGTCTGGCCCCACCATTGAGGAGGTCGATTAAGGAGTCTTTATTTCCCACATTATGGAGACGGTTGGGCTTGGAGATTTTTCCATTGCTTTACTTCCCTACTTTCATCAGCTTTGAATTTTGCTAGAAGTCTCCGAAGTTGAACTGTCTTTTGGAGGAAGTTATGAACTTGCTTTTTTTTCCCCCGATTTAAATGTAGAATTTATACTGCAATTGCTTATTTCCCTTTATATATATATATATAAATCATACCAACTTTGCCTGCCTTTTTTAAAATGTTTACTTCAAAGTAAATAAACTCGAAATAAAGTGAAGTCTTTTGTCTGCATATTTTATTTTGAGGTCAGAAGTGTCTATAGCTTGTCTTGTTCTAGGATTGAATGGCAGTTTGCCTCTTGGGTAATGTCAGTGATCTGGAAAAATGTATTGCGTTGTCATTTACTTTTAGGCAAATTGTATCCTATGGAAAAACTGGTTATTTTGAGTGGGTTGCATCTGGGTCCAGAGAGAGGTAAAAGGCTATTGTCATAGTGACTTCACATGGGTGACAGGGTTTAACCTGGTGTAAGGGTGGCTTCAAAGGGGGTTGGGGTGTGGGGGGATGTTCCTGTTCCTGGAGAAGCAGTGAAAAAGGCAAAGCAGATGGGAAAGGGAATGGCTACTCATTCCTTTAAGTACACCTGCTATCAGTCCTGATAATCTGGACTCAGGGAAGAGAAATGAGTTAAGTGAAGATGGGAGTTCAAGCACTGGCTTGCCAGTTATAAGCAAGTGCATTAGTCACTGGCTTGCCAGTTATAAGCAAGTGCATTAGTCACTGATTCATAGTTCTTCTATTTAAAACAAAACGATTTGGCTTGATGTCTCAGGCTGTAATTTCTGAAAGGATGCATAGATAGAAATAATTTCTCTCAAAAAAACCTCTCTAGCAGGGGTTTTAAGTACCCCAGTGCCTTTGGGAGGTGCCACTGAGTGGTGCCTCAGTGGAAGGACCCTAGTATTTCAGTACTCTTGCCAGGCACTGTCCTGGGGCTTATTATGTGTTTATTAATCTTCATTCCACCACAGTGAGCTTGGGTAGTGTTTGACTTTCACAGGTGAACATTGGGGAGACTTTAAAATTACTGGCTCAAGCAAAAGTTAAAAAGTATCACCAGTTCAACAAAGGTGTTGTACTTGGATTCCAACTCAGATTTTTATCAGTCTTGCTATGCTACCCAAGTCTGCAGGGGTTTTGTTTGGGTCTGTCCGGTCTTGAGTTGTTTCCATTCATAGGCTTCACAATCAGTATACCCCTTTTGCCTTTCCATGATGATCCTTAATTAGTTTTAGTATTTAGAAGGGTGAGGAAGAAAACCTCAGCCCTGTACCTGGAACTACTTCAGGCTTCCTTCCCATGCACTTCATTTTAAGGTGCTTCATTGCTGTAGCTGCTAGCATCTAGAAATAATCCCTTCCACACCCTTCTTGTTGGAAAAGGCCTGGCACAGTCCACAAAGCTTGGGGATGAATACATGTCAAAGTTTATTGCACCTGGGAGGGGGTCACAAAATGTTTTAGAACTACATGGAGGTGATGATTGCACAATTGTACCCTTGAATTGATGGATGCCTTGAATTGTACCCTTTAAAGTGGTTAATTTTATTTGGTTAATGTGATTTTCACTTATGCAGTTTAAAAAATCCCATTGTATCAACATCCATCACAGCACTTTGTGAGTTCACATATACCTTAAAGCCCACCAGGTTTTTCACTATAAAAACTTTCCTTTGAAGAAAATCCAGTGTGGGAATGGCACATCAAGGTAGAACCTTGCTGTGGAAGTTTGGAAATAGAAAGCGAAGAGATGCTTAGGCTTCCAGACCAGTTTATAAAAGCACATTTAACCCTCAACGTTGTAAAAATGTAGCACTGGACTCTAGCCACAATGTCAATTTTCAGGGAGATAAGGAATTTGTTAATGGATCTACTCACCTTAGCCACAGTAGCATTAGTGACTCATCTGCAGATAATACAGTGACTTTTCCAGCCAGCAGCCACTACTTGGGAGGGAGGTGGCAGGCAATGGGGAAGGTGAATGGAAAAGGGTTCAGATTGTGAAGGACCTACTAACTGCTTTTGATAACAGAGGTTACAGAAATCTCCAGAAATAACCTTGGAGAAAATAAGAGTTCCTAGGCTAGATCAGTCAAGATCATTGAGTGGTGTTTTATTAATATGTAATTGCCTGCATACCCTTACACAGAGTAGTTTGAAAATACTCACTTTGTAAGCTGAAGGAGATCAGGTTGAGGGCATTGTAGAATTAGCAAAGAGGATGCCAGTGCCATGGCTGGAGAAGTGATGGGAGTAGCAGGAAGAACTGTGGGGGCAGGAAGGTGCATGGAGGAAAAACTAAGCCCTAGAAGAGGAAAGAGTATTTTAACTTTGAATACCTTGATACCAATCCACATCCTATCTTCCTGGGCCAGCCTTTAGATGGCAGGTGGGAATGGGCCTGGTTGCATATGCGTTTTGAAACCAAGGTAATGCTTTATTAGTAATATTTTATTCCTGGTGTTTAACAGGGTTCTGTCATCGAAAAATGAAAAAGGCAGCAAAACAAAAATTCTACAATTTACTAAATGTGAGAACTCGGCAGGAACACGGGCTTTCAATTAAAAGGGCAGGTGGGGTTATTTCGGGTGAAGAGCCAATGTTGGAGATTACTGAGGCGGTGATCTTTGCTGTAGGAATAAGAAACAGTAACTGACATCATCCTTCAATCACCCTAAATCCGTACCATTGGTAACCCCCAAGGGTATATCCGGTGCAATTCAGTGGGACAGCAACCCCACCCGTCCCACGACTTCCAGCACCGCTCATTGAGATATTAAGGGGTCCGGCAGCGGAGCGAATTCAGGACGTGCGGTAAACATGCCCCACCTTGGCGACCCCTGTAATGCTTAATCCAGAACGGGAGGAGAGGACATAACGGGAGCGGCGGGGCAGGCCCACAGGTTGGGAAAACGGGGGAGTTCTGAAGACAAGAATCACTGCCCAGTGTCTTCGACCTTTCTGCCACTCCAAACGTCCCTACCGGAACGAAGGACGGGAGCCGGGGTGAAAGAAGGATGCCGTAGGCTCCTGTCTGCCACCTTGGCTGCGGGGACCTTGCCTTCCTCCCGGCTGGCCACCCGGTTCATGTGGCTTGGTTGTGAGTTCCAAAACTTTACAATGTCTTCTTTTAATAAATTAGCTACAGTGAGAAAAACTCTAAAGGTCTCTCCTTTTACTCCATTGACGTTTTGAAAACAATCGCCACAGGCCAGCGGGGCCAGGCAGCTCCTCGGCCACCCTGCCTCAGGCCCCGCCCCTCCGCGCCCGCCCCGCCCCTTCCGACTCCGGCCGTCTCTGGCTCCCTGGTCCAGTTTTGGGCTCTGCCAGGAACTTTCTGGAGTTTTCTGGGTTCGAAGGCGGGGACCGATTCGTGGAAACACTTCTCAACAAACTGCCCCGTCCAAGTCACCCTGCCTACCGCCAACGCCACCCTAGAACAACAAGCTTAGTCACGGCTCTACATTTAATTTCCAGAAGACTTGTGTGAACTGTGCCAGCCTACCAATAGTAACCCCCTCCTTCTGGTCCTCTTTTTCCCACGGAGCAGACTAGTATGAAGGGAGGGGGAGGCGGAGCTGAGAGAAGCTGGAAGAATGGGAAAGATCACAGAGTTTGTGGTGTGGGGGTGGTTGTGAGTCTGAGGCTGCAGCAGGGAAGTCCGGCGCTGGTCACATATCCACCATGGTTCCCCTAAGGCCCGCTGAGCCCTGACGTTCACTCTTCACTCCCTTCTGTGGCCATTTGTCTTCCCCTTTTTAGAAAATGAACCGGTACGATCCCTGTGCCAGTATTGGGAGGAGTCCAAAATACAGAGTATGAGGACATGGAGGGAGGTTCAGTTACAGGTTCTGTAATTACCTGACTGGATGACCAGACCAAGCCACTGAATCTCTGATCCTTTGTTCTCATCTCTGAAAATGAACAGGTATGGCGGAATGTCCTCTGCCTAAAAATGTTGATAGTTTCTACAGTAAACTGACAGTAATGTCATAACCCTGATGGTAGTACCCAACCTTGTAAGTGCCTCAGTAAGAATGAGAGGTCAGACCTGAGAGTATGCGACCCCAACAAAAGAAGGGAGCAAACTTCTGAAGCACTACTTTGTCACAGGCACTCTGAGACCTTATAAGTACTACTCTAGTAATCCTTAGCATCCTGTGAAATAGTAATTCTATTTTAGAGATACAGAGACTTGAGTAATTAACTTACAAATACTTCATTGGAAAGAAAGAGAGAGAGAAAAAGGAAACAGCCTCAACAAGGAAGTAAAGAGCAGATGCAAACCCAGGTCTTCCTATTCTCAGGCTTTTTAAAATGCTGTTGGGAGAGCTGCAGGGTTCACAGGTCATTGAAACCTTAGTCATTTGGGGAGAATGTATGGCTCTACGTTTCATATCAGTTACCGCGTTTGCTTTTTTCTGGATAAACAGAATTATGATATCTTTTAAAACAAAGAGAATTGAGAAGATGATGTAGGGGTAGGAAAGTTTTCCCTTCTTCCCTTCTAGGTTCATTGGCTGGTCTTACAATTAAATTGATACAGAACAGATTAACAGGAGAAAAACAGAAAAGTTTTAAGAACATGTATACCTCCTGTATACGAGGCGGAGACCCAGGAAAACAGAATAACTTACCCAAATGGCCAAAGCCATCACCTTAAACGCCGTCTTCAGCTAAAACATGCATGTTAGAGATTGGGAGTCAGTTATGGGAGGTTACCAGGAAAAGCAGGGTAAACAAGAGAAAGATTGTTAATGCAGATTTAACTCATGGCCTTCTGCTTTGTTAAGTTTTTGGAGTTAGATATCCTCCTCTGCCTGGTACAGTCAGGGAGACACCCTTATAAATGTCAATATTTCTTACAAAAGGGTAACTTTTCTTCCGTTTTCAGAACTTCACCTGTGTCTGGGGTTTCTTAAAAAAAC